TCCCACAGTGGTGTGTCATGAATCCAGTTTTCATTCTCTGCACCTGCCTCTCTTTGTGTTAAATATTACTGTTAATAACCTGTATTTTATCAGAGTTTCTTTATGTGGATACAACAAAAATATGAACATATCTACTTTTCCAAACAATACATTCTTTCCCTTTGAACTTCTCCCTACCTATTGTGACTTTCCCCACCCAAAATTATTATGTCTATTCCCTGCCCCCTTTCAGGGTTTCTTTATGTAGCCATGCCTGATCTGGAATTCACTTTGTAAACCTGGTTGGTCTTGAACTCACAGAGGTTCATCTGTCTCTGTTTCTATGTGTTGTCTATATGTGCACAGGTGTGGGGCCTCCACTGGAGCACAGAAAACCTACCAGAGGGAACACGTTAAAAAGACAATGATTGTTCCTCCCCCAGCAGGTATAAGTTGCAGTAGTTCCTCATTAAGGAGAGGGGCTAGGAGAGTGCCTCACCAGGTGTGTTGGAATTTTGGCTCATTTGATCTGGTATTGATAACCCCAGCTTTTGTGATCTTGTGAGTGCCTGTCAACTTGTACTTAAATATGCAACATGTAACTGAATTCCATTTAGGGAGAATGGGGCACAAACTTGACAATCTGGGCTCTGACGATCAGAATGGAGAAGAATACAATGATCTGTACAGTTCAGCCTCTCAGATTCAGTCTAGAGCCCACTCCCTGCCCCCGGTCCTTGGAGTAGTTCCCCTAATCCACAGTTGCTTTTTAGTTCAGCTTCTTTTACAGAGGCAATGGTTATTGTTTTCAAGAGTGTATTAAGGGTTTCAGCTGCCTGTGAAGGATGAGTAGGGACTCTGTGGGTCTAAATTCTGTTTACAAACGTAACTCCTCCTTTTCAGCCTTCCCAACCTATATCTCCCACAAAAAGTCTGCCATTTCCAAGCCTGTGTGAGGACCTATGGCTTAAATTGGCCTGGTCTTCTCTTGGATTTCCCCTTTCATGCTTAGTTCTCAACCTTTTCAGTTTTGTTTGGCCAGTTGCCATCTGTGTTTTCCTTGCCCATCTTCCAAAATTTTGTTGGTATTGCTTATTATCTCCATTTTCCATCCCCTTATCATCTTCCTTACTTTTACAAATCCTTTTATATAACCTTTGTGTGGTTCCAGAGGAACAGTCTGATCTACTGAATTTAACCTCAGGTCCATAGTCATCTTATTCCCACTTACCATGGAAGAGAAACAGGACTTGCCACAAGAAGACCTGGGTGTGATACTTACTTCTCTGTTTCCTTGGCTGCAGACATGCAGTACCACCACCCCAACAAAACACTTTCAATAACTGTGTGATGCAGCTGTTAATACAAGGTGTTCATATTCCACCCCAGCCATGCATTCTTTTTTTCATTCATTTGTCCATCCATCTAATCATTTATTCACCACTATCTTTTCTTTCTTTTTTGAGAGTCTCACTTTGTGTCCCAGACTGGTTTCAAACTCATATATAACCAAGGTTGGATAAAAACTATCAGCAGTCCTCCTGTCTCAGTCTCCCAGGCATGAGATTACATGCATTTACCATTATGCCCAGCCATCTAGTCATGATTTTAAACCATAGACACAAAGATGAATACATAATAATCCTTTTTAAATAACCTTCATAGGCTAAGAGAAGGAGACATATAACTACTCATAGCTGTAATAATGGGAGACATATATCAGGATTTATAGGAAGAAGCCCTCCCCAACCCAGACCAAGAAGAGTCAAGAAAGAATTCTCTGAAAGAATTGATGTCTAAACCATATCTTCAAGGAAGAACTGCAGTTCAACAAGCAGAAGAGAGGCAAAGATGAGAGAAGGAATATGCCTTGCTGAAGTAAAATGCTCAGTTTCTAAGAATGGAAGCCAGAGAAATTGGCAAGCACCTTGGAATTTAAATGTGACATAGTGAGTATTGGATTAATTCTCCATCATGGAGGCATTCCAGCCTCTGTTGCCAGGCCTGGGGTCCAGCAGCTCACCCTTCAGGGAACCAGTCTTCAGCAGTTGGAAGTTGAACATCTCCTTTGTGTTGCATTTTCTAGGCAAATAGTTTGTTTCCTAGCCTTCAGCCTGTCCAAGACTGACATGCACAATGCATACAAATCGCATGCCTTTTAATAGTACCTGATGGAACTTCTTACTCAATTGTTACATCAGTAGACAGTTCCATGCTCACAGCACCTCACGTTGAATGCCATTTTCCTCTTATTTCAAAAATTAGTAAAGCAGTCCATCACATCTTATGTGCCCCTTGCCTGAGTTTTCTACTTATTTTTGCAATTTTAACAGTTGTCCAACTAATAACCAGTATATTAATCTATTCAATGAACCAAGCAATGATGGTGTGCCAGTGTTAACTCTGCCCAAGAAATATTTGTGCATTTGCTCAGCCTCTTGAGGTACAAGTGTAGAATTGTGAAATTGTGAAGGCCATGAGGAATGATTCCATAATACCAAAATACTATTTGCTCTTTCTGCATGTTGTATCCTTTACAGACCTTGCCTTGGGAAAGCATCCATCCAAGTGGGGTGTACCACCTATCTTGTACATCTAAGGCCATCTTGAACCTTGAATATGTTTTCTTTTCTGCAAAGATCGGCTTAGTGATTTTTCTTTACAAGATCAAAGTGAAAAGAAATGTCTCAGGGTTGTTGACCCTGCCCTCCCTATTGTACTAACCCCTATGTGTCATCTACTACTTGGAAAAACAAATCTACTTGATTTTCCTAGACTTCCTGAAGCCTGGTGATTTTGTTTTAGGCATACCCTGCACTCAGTTTTCATATCACCCAGTGAAAACAACAGAATGAAGTATAAGGAAAATGTCCCCAAGTGTGATTCAGCAGCTGTCATTGGTTGAACTGTGTTCCTCCAAATAAACCAGATGATTGAATTTCAAATCTGCACTACAGGGGGCCTTGAAGTCCAATATGAATGATGTCCTTATAGGAGGGGAGAAAATTGAGCACAGAGACAGATAAAAAAAAAAACAGAAGTAAAGTGAAGTAAAGCTCTATCAAGATGTCAGCTATCTACAAAGCAAAGCAGAGCCTGGAGGCCTGAGACATCCTTCTTACAGCCCCAGGAAGGAAGTAATCTGCTGACATTTGACTTGAGACTCTGACCTTCAGGACTGAGACAATACATTTCTGTTGTTTGAGGCATCCAGGGCCTGACACTTTGTGAAGGACATTCAGCGTGGCTGTCACAGTGGGTGAGTGAAGGCCAGCAGCCTGCAGGAGAGCATCCTGAAGCAGCCAGTGCTGTCTTACACCATGCTGGGGAAGCACACAGCAGGCAGGGAGGGCCTCCAGGGAGCCACCCACAGAGCTGTGTATGCTCTGGAACTCTCTCTGGGATCTCAGAAGGAAAGATGCTGAGCTGCCAGTATCTGGTTCTTTACCCAGCCTAGGGGTGCCTAGTCTCTCTGTTGTCATGCCAACAGAGGATGTCAGAGAACTTGAGTGTTTTTTTTTTATCTCCTGCTAAAAGGCCATCAGGTTTAAGGCTTTTAATCCAGCACTCATGAACAGGCTTACCTTCTTGAAATGTTCACTCTAATGTGGGTTAGTCGGAGTGTTCTTTTTTCCCATACTTTCAGGCAATAACCTGTTTCTACCAGCAAGAACATCCTTACGGATCGTGAAATATTTGTCACAGTGTATAAGCTCAGTAACTACTATGTTTTTGTTCTTCCTTGAGCCAGGAATGGTGCAACTCCTTCAGGTTCTGAGTCAAGACTGTCCCCTGCCTACACCTCCCTCCTTGTCACCTGGACACCATCACAGACAGCCCATGGGAGCTCTGGTAGTTATTTCATCATCAGTGGTTTTTACCAAAGATGAAGTAATCACTTATTTGTCACTGGCTGCCTGAGGGACGGGAACACACAGAGACTCTTTGTTGCCATTTATAAAGCAAAGAACATTAGAGAGAAGCTTCCATAGGGGCCATGATTGAAGCTTCCCCAGGCCCCACTACTGAGGAGATGGAATACGATTGATAAACACACACTGACTATGAATACAGATCATGTTTAGAAAGCTCTCACAGAAGGATGCATTTATAAGATGTCTTTAACCAAAGGCCTGGTGGGAGACAGGCAGCCAGCCGAAGGCTAACAACAGTGTCACCGCTGACAGAACATTGAAGGTGGTGGTGGTGACTCCCTCTCCTCCCCGCCTCTTGAAACTGCTGACAGGAATTGCAACCACTGTGGCCTTGATTGAGGAGCAAATCAAGCTCTGATCAAACCTTTTTCAAAGTAATTAGACGTTTATGCTAAATGCAGTAGAGGTCGTTTTCCCCCAATTATTCTCCGTGCTTAGTTCAGTTACTGTTGGAAGAGTGAAATGACAGGGACACTCCCAAGAACACTGCACGGTGCCAAAAAAGGGGACTTCACAGCCCAGGAGTGAATCTTGGTCTGCCACTTTGCTTATTAGCTCCTGTGGACTTGGGCACCTTCACCCGCACCTTTTTAATTGAGAATTTTATACATGTATGCAATGTGTTTGTGAAATCCATGCCCCATTCCCTCCCTCTCCTCTAATTCCTCCCCATCTCCTCCACTACTTTTCTTCCCAACTTGATGCTCTCTCTCTCTCTCTCTTTCTCTCTCTCTCTGAGTGTGTGTGTGTGTGTGTGTGTGTGTGTGTGTGTGTGTGTGTCCATCCACCCTACTCCAGGCTACTTAGTCCTGCCTATATGTGCCTGGGTATAGGACAATCTACTCACAGTCATTCAGGGTCCGCTTCTCTGAAGAAAATTGGCTCTCCGCCAACAGCCACTAATAGCTAATAGCTCCTCAGTTAGGGGTAAAGCTCCTTTCTCATCCATGCTGGCTTGATCTTGTTTAGATCCTGGGTATACAGTCACAGCTTGCTTTCCTAGTGTTTTGTGAAAGGGAATACATAGGTGCACTAATAGATTTGTAAATTGTCAAGGGAAACCTCCATTTCCTCTTTGTTTTCCAGGCTTCCTCGCCACACCCCCCAGCGTGTGCATGCTGCCTGATGACACAGCCAAACCAAGCAGATAATGTTCTGTAAAAACAAATATCTTCAGTAGAAGATTCAGTAACTTTCTCAAACCAAGCTGGCTGACAGATGCAATGTCCAACAGTGCTGCTGTTGTCTCCCCGTTCTTTCTTTCCCTCAGTATGCATTATCTTCAAATACACCAGATGACAGATGTAAGTTACTCATTTCTATCATCTCATGTTTTATCCCAGTCTCCATGCAAATAAGAGTGGGAAGGCTAGTGCTGGTTATCAACCTGACAGAATCTATAACTACCTAGGAAATGGGCCTCTGGGCAAGCCTATGAGGGATTATCCTGATTATGCTAATTGGTGTGGGAGGACACTTCTCAATTTTGGGTGGAACCATTCCCTGGGTGTGTATAAAATGGACTGTGTCAAATGAAGAAAATGCACTAGCATGCATTCATGTTTCTGTTTCCTGGTTGTAGATGACATGCCTCCAACTACTTAAAGCTCTTGTTGCCTTGACTTTTCCACGAGGACAGACTTTACCTTAGAACTGTGGGCCAGAAAAAGCCCTTTCTCCCTTAAATTGCTTTTGTCAGAGCATTTTCTCATAGCAACAGGAAAAGAAATGATAACAGTAAAACAAGTGCACTAAATGTGTTTTGACATACTCATATATTCAGTTTACTGTGAGTTTCCTGGGACAGAATCCTATCCAAAGTCAAGGATCACATGTTTACAAAAACTCTTATTCATTCTGAATATTCACAGAGCAAGGCGAGAAGGAGGTACAAACTGTACTCTGAGGAGGCCTTTGGTATAAGATCTTTGAATAACAGTATAAACCCAAGAAATTCTGAGCTCCTTTTAGCACTGTTTCTAATTATGTCTACATGTAACAGAAAACCTCATGATTCCTGGAGACCATACTGTGGCATGAAGACTTGGTTTGTAATTGTGAGATCAGTGTATTTCCTCTGAAGCTCCCCTTTAAGGTGGTCCTTCCTCTGGTGCAATGTGCCTATTGCTTCTCTCAGAACAGAAACATGTCTATATGCATTGTCAAATCATCTTAGGCTACAGCACTCATGGTGGTTGGATCTGTGTATACCTTACACTTTGGGAGCAGTGAACAATGAGCAAGCCTGTAGGAGTTATTTAAGGAATGAGTAATTATGTAAGTGGATGAATAGAATCTCCCAGAGAGGCTAATCTTCTTTGGGTAGCATCTTGGATTTTGGATCTGTGTTTCCACACTCCGTGGTATTGTTTTCATCAAAATATAGTATCCCTATTCCTTCTCCCCATATCTCCTTCTTATAAGAAATAGGGTTTCTCTGACAGTAGAAGCTTAAGGAAAAAATGTGCCTAAATGTGTTGCTCCCACAGTGCCATTTGCATTTCAAGATGCTTCTCGGCATGAAAAACATAAGTCAAATGAACAAATCTGTAGTCATTCAAGAGGAGTCATTATGGATTTCTAAAGAAACCAACTAAGGAAAAAATGTTTAGTCAGTGCAGTGGGGTAGCTCTCTCTATAACACTGAATATGTTATGGAAATGGCAATTTCTAAAGATTCTGTGTATTACAATGCCAAAGACCAACCAGGGCATTGACTATGTCATACTACCACTTTTGAACATCCATTATATACTTACCCACTTTCATAAAATATGGACACTGAAGCCTTTGGTTGCAGATTTGATTATTATTTCTCTTAAAATGCAGTGCACCTGTTCTGGGGCAGGCACTACTTTGGGCTCTTAGGATACATTAAAGAACAACACAGATAATAAGCTACACCCTTGTGGAGTTTGTATTATAGCCTAAGCAGCAGACAATACATGATACATACCAATATAAATACATGTATTTTGTAACACATAAGACAAAACAATCTCTTTCATCCCTAAGTTGCTTTTGGTCAGGATATTATCTTATCACAGTAACAGAATACTGATACACACTAGTAGATCATATGGGATCCATGTGTAAGGGATTGGGTTTTCACTCTGAGTAGAAAGGGGAATCAAATACAAGTTTGAATCAAGGGAGTGATTCAGATTGTTAAGGCATTAGCACTGTGTAGGCAAACAGTCAGGCCACCAGAACTGTTTGGAGACAATTTCAGTGTTCCTGGCTGTTGATGATAATGACTCATATGTGCAGCACTCCTCAAGAGTAAGACATAGTCAGGATTGATATGTTTTAACACTTAGCTAGGTTTCCTGATGGATTCTTTAAGGTTGAGAGACAAATAGGACTGACTCCAAGGTTTTGGTCCATAAAACAAAGGAGGAAGACCATGAATACAATAGGTTTGGAGACAGGGGGTGGGAAAGATCAGGCATTTTACATATAGAGGTGTTTTTTTTTTTTTTTTGGTTAATCTTTTTTTCTTTTATTATTTTAATTTTAAAGAGCTTACTTCACATGTCAATTCCAGTTCCCTCTCCCTTCCCTCCTCCTACCCTCCCATCGCCCCCCCCCCCCCAGCCTCCCACCCTATCGCCGCCACTTCCTTCCACATAGGGGATATCTAGAGTCTGTCATTTCACTCAGGGCAGAGTCCAGGCACTCCCCTAAGAGTCCAGGCTGAGAGAGCATCCCTCTTTGTGTTATGGACACATGAAGTCTGTTTGTATATCAGGGATAAACACTGATCCACTGCCCCCAGGGCCCCATAGGTTGCCCAGGCCTCTCACTGACTCTCACACTCAGGGGGTCTGGATCAGTCCCATGCTGGCCTCCCAGCAGTCCGTCTGGGGTCCAAGAGCTCTCCCCTGTTCAGATCAGCTGTCTCTGCTGGTTTTGCCAGCCAATTTGCTCATCACTCCTCTCTCCCTGTCACTGGGTTCCATGGGTTCAGTTCAGTGTTTAACTGTGGGTGTTTGCCTTTGCTTCCATCAGTCACTGGATGAAGGCTCCCGGGTGGTTATAGACATCAAGTTCATTATCAGGAATGGGCATTCGAGGTGGTCTCTCCACTATTGCTTAGCTTGCCAGTTGGTGTTATCTCTTTAGATCACTAGAGGTCTCACTGGTGCCAGAGCTGTCTTTTAACCCTCTTCCCCCTATTCTACCCCCCACTCAACCTTCCTGTTCCTCCATGACTTACTCTCTCTTCCTCTTCTCCCCCTCTCTTCTTCCCAGCTCCCACTGCCCCCTCCCCTAGCTGTGTTCCCAATCTGTTCAGAAGATCTTGCCTCATTCCTCTTCTCTGAGGTTGCCATGCATATCTCTTAGGTTCTTTCCTGTTTCCCAGACTCTCTGTTAGTGGAAGTGCAGACCGGCACTATCCTGTTCCATGTCTAAAATCCATATATGAGTGAGTACATTCCATGTTTGTCTTTTTGTAACTGGGTTACCTCACTCAGGATGGTTTCTTCTAGCACCATTCATTTACCTGCAAATTTCAAGATTCCATTGTTTTTTTTCTGCTGAGTAATACTCCATTGTGTAAATGTACCACATTTTCTCTATCCACTTTTCAGTTGAGGGGCATCTAGGTTGCTTCCAGGTTTTGGCTATTACAAATAATGCTGCTATGAACAGAGAATATTATAATGGCCTAGTTACAATAAGTGAGCGTCCTTGTTGTATGAATTTGCCTCTTTTGGATATATGCCTAAGAGTGGAATTGCTGGGTCTTGTGGTAGAATGATTCCCATTTTCCTGAGGAATCTCCATACTGATTTCCAAAGAGGCTGTATGAGTTGGCACTCCCACCAGCAGTGGAGGAGTATTCCCCTCTCTCCACATCCTCTCCAACATAAATTGTCTTTGGTGTTTTTGATTTTAGCCATTCTGACAGGAGTAAGATGGTATCTCAAAGTTGTTTTGATTTGCATTTCCCTGATGGCTAAGGATGCTTAGCACTTTCTTGAGTGTCTCTTGGCCATTTTAAATATCTATAGGTATTAAGATATCAGATATTGAGTCAATAACCCTAAGACAACTTTCAGAGCTTCCAAAGTGTGTTCCTGTCTTACATGTTGGACATCAACATTGTACTGGGAAGCCAGGTAATACAGATAAAAGGTGATATACTTTCCCTACTTCTAAATCTACCTAAATTCTGGTTTCATTCCCAGAAGTCTCAGTAAGGGCCAGGAGCAAAGGACTTGATAGTTCTTCAAATATGTAAATAAGTAGCCCTTATAATGACCTTAGAAGTTGTCTTAGGGTTTCTATTTCTGTGAAGAGACACCAAAACCACAGCAGCTCTTATAAAGGAAAACATTTAATTGAGGTGGTGGCCTACAGTTTCAGAGGTTCTATCCATTATCATCACGGCGGCGTGCAGGCAGACATGGTTCTGTCTATATTTTGATCAGAAGGTAGCAGCAAATGGTCTATATGTCTCACTGAGCAAAGCTTCAGCAAAGAAGACCTCAAAGCTTGCCCCCACAGTGACACACTTCCTCCAAAAAGGTCACACCTACTCCAACAAAGTCACACTTCCTAATAGTGCCACTCCCTATGGGCTTATGGAGGCCGATTACATTCAAAGCACCACAGAGGTTCACAGAGAATATTATAATGGCCTAGTTACAATAAGTGAGTGTCTTCCCTTTGTTAAGTTTAAATTCACATCTACATATCAACTGGCCATCAGATTACTATAATTCATATCTCAGTGATCACAAATTTACTTTCATTTTATATTTGGCTCAACTACTATGAGAATTCATTAAAGTAAATATATATAAAATATAATCTTATGACTCTTTTAAAAGACATCTGTTTGGGTTTCTTATTTCTTCTCATTATTTTGAACTTTATATGAAGGCACTGGTTGGGTTTTGTAACTGCATGACTCAGCACTGGGAACCCATAGAGAGCGAGTGTATCAGTATCTAGAGCACCGAGAAAGAACCAGTTAGCATACAGAGAAGTGGAATGATGCCACTGAAATGCTATGCTATCTTAATACTTTTTCCAAAAAAAATTCGACTGTTCATTGTGTTGGACATAAAAGCAAGTGATACTGAGGGTTTATGGTCTTTGCATGTTTTTGTTTTGTTTTTACTGTTAAGTGTATACTTTAGTTATACTCTCATATTCCCTTGTCATTCTTTTAAATTTTATTTTTAATTAAGTGTACATGTCTGACTGTCTGTCTGTGGATATACACATGAGAATACAGGTGCCTGTAGAGACTAGGCAATGGTATCAGAT